TAAAATTTACATTTTAAAAAATGGATTCACCTCCCCAAGTTGTCCCAAACACCTTTTAAAATTTTCTAATAAATGAACTGAATATGATTTATTTATATATGAATTTAAATTAATTTAAGGTAATTAAAATTTAAAACTCAGTTCCTGAGGCGCTAGCCACGTTTCCAGTACTAACAGTTGCATGTTGCTAGTAGCTACTATGTTGGACAGTGCAGGCCTATATAATCACAAATCATACAGTTACTACACCATTCATGAAATTTGTAATGCTGGAAAAGCACTGGCATTACTCCTTAAATAACTCAATTTGAATAAAGTAAATACAGATTAATTTCTCTATAGTTATACAATTATTATTAATATTTGAGAAAAATGAAACCTATTCAACGGTTTTGAAACTCCAAGAGTTTGGAACTATCAAAGGCCAGCCCTCCATCAATTCATAAAGCTACAGGCATAGCCATTTGTCCTGAAAATTCAGACACACAATGTTCTACCTAATAGGAAAATCAATTCAAATATTAACAAGTATGAAGAGAAAAAGTGAGGTTGAGTTGACAGGAATTTTTTTCAAAGATATGTTAAAAGAACAACAAAATGCTAAAAGCACAAAGTATTCCAAGTGAAATGAAAATAGCATAAAGAAAACTAGGAACAAAATTACACATCAAAACCTGAAATAAAATCTTTGATCTACACAGAAGAAAATAGGTTAAAGTAGATAAATATAGCAGTGAATAGAAAGCTGTTATTATGTGGCAATATAAAGACTCTAGAATCACAAGGAAAGCTGGATCCTAGGCATACGAGAGAGAGAGAGAGAGAGAGAGAGAGAGAGAACGAGAGATTTGGAAATAACTATTGTAATCCCTGACAGTTACCCCATATGCAATAAAATGGAGTTGAAAAGATTTCATGTCAATTTCTAAGTCACTGGCTTCTTAATTATACAATTTCTGTGTGACAGCAACATGAGCTGTAATTACCACTCTAAAAGGTGGAAGCAAATGCTTCCCAAATTGGATCAAGTGGTAATCCTGGCGTGGAAGGAAATTAAAAGAAATTGCCTTTTTCTTTCAGCAGTTTAGAAGTAACTCTAAACCTTACTAAAGCAAGGCTACATATTCATGTTGAATATTTATTGTTTAAAGGAGGTAGAGCTATATCAGTACTAAAATCAATGCAACCGTGACCCAAAGAACCATCACCAACAGAGGCATTTTAACATCTTTCAATTTCAGCTCTTTTCTGTCAAACTTTCCTGGTTCTACTTAATGTCTTGAGATCCAAGGCAAGTTTGGGTTCAGTAGTTATCCCAGACTCATCTCAAGCAGCCTCTCTGACGACTAGACTTTATTGTCCTTCCTCCAACCACAGGCTAGGTGGCCCCCCTATAAGCTCTCAGTCTCCACTGTGGTACTTATGCATTAGTCTAATTTCCTGCTTGCTTATTTATCTCTACCAACGAATTACGAGTGTTTGAGAACACACACTACATTTTATTTGCTTTTTCATCTTCAGCACCTAAAATGATATCTGAACCATAACAAGACACTCAGAATTAATGAATGAGTGAATTGATTAATTAATAAAAAATCAAATATAAGTATTCACATCAATGTTTTTATAATCTAGAAAAAATGATAGTAAGATGACAGGCAAGGAGAAAGAAGACTTTTTTTCTTTTAAACAGATATTCTAGAAAGTCCTATAAATTAGTTACATTCACAGAGAGACTGAGATACAAAAGATTAAAACTTAGCTGCTTATCTTTATCCACCATGTCAACAATATAACGATGTCTTCACCAATTATTAAAAAAAAAATCTGTATGCTAATTTCTGAATACATATCTTACAATTCGATTTAGCCTCCTGAACTGAAGATACTACTGAGAATTCACTTATAATTGGCTGTTTAAAACTAATAATTAATATCTCTTTAAACATTTTGATAGAACATTGTCTTTACCATCAAACATGTACCACAGCATAAAAACCTACTTGCTTTAAAAAAGAAAAAACTACAAAACATGATCAACATAAATGTACTGTAGTGAGAATTATGCTATAATAGTAACAGTTGCCAACTGTTTTCCAAGAGTCTGAGGCAGTAATGAGAATTTCTTTCAACAAGGCTATAATTTAATTTTTTCCAGGAAAATATTTTTAATGGGATTACCGACCCTTTTAACATTCTTGAAAAGAAAATGAATCCCATAAGCATTCTGGTGTATAACTATTATAAAAATAAATAGAACAGTCAATCAGTGAAAATGGTAATGGACTTGAGAAACTAAACTTCTAAAGAAATGTGCATAAATATGCATGGCGATAACCACTTTAACAGAGAAAAGGCTCAGTGCATATCAACAAAACAACTAAATACAGTGAGACTAGAAAGGAGCAGGGGAAACAGGAATTTTGGAAATATAGCTTTAATGTCTTTCTTAAGCAGAACTGACTACATTTACCTTGATCAATTCTGCTAGCTATCACTCAACTCTTAAGCTCGTTCCTAAGTCCTGGTTTCTCAGAAGGTATTTACATGTTTCAAGGGAAAAAAAGGACACTTACTGATTTAAGACACATTTTTACACTCACAACTGTTTGTGCTTTAAGAGGAATTTTTTCAGGTCATTAGTTTATAATGTGCACGTATGTCTAGGGATATTTTGAAAGAAAAAAAAAAACTAGCGTGCTTAGAAGATGCAGTTTAGGTAACTTGGATCATCATTTACTTCAGCTCAATATGGGGTCCAAAACTGAACCCAAAATGAAGTTATCACATCTGCAACAGTTTCCTTCTCAGCATGCAATGATCATACTGGAATCTAAAAGCAGAATAAGACCCCTTTCACAAAAGTAGATGTACTATAACCCCCTAAATATATCAAAGTCCTTGCAAGAAGTTTTTATTCTTCTAGGATACAAAAATAAAGTCAGTCTTGGAAATAATTTCCAAAATAATATGAATTATCAAAATGTCATTAGCATACCAAAATTCATTAATTTTGCCAATCTTACCCCTATTTCCACCACCCCACCACAGCCATTCATACTGCTATGTTTGAGTCCAGAAAACACAAACTAAATCATTAGTCTCGAACAAAGCAAGTATCTTCCTAAACCCAGGTTCATAGACTAAAAAATAATTTGGTCATTCTCAATATTGATTTGATCTACATATCATGTCAAAACAGATCATTCACAGGCAGCCCCAAAGTTAATTAACTAGTTCCTAAATTTTTCATTTCCATTAAGTGTAAACAAAAACCACCACATCTATGTTTTTTAAGTGTAAACAAAACATATATTCTATCTCACCTGATAAAAGAAACAGATAAGAATCACTTTTTCTTTTTCTTTTCTTTTCTTTTCTTTTTTCTTTTTTTTTTTTTTGAGATGAAGTTTCACTTTTGTTGCCCAGGCTGGAGTGCAATGGCACAATGTCAGCTGACCACAACCTCCCCCTCCCGGGTTCAAGTAGTTCTCCTACCTCAGCCTCTCCAGTAGCTGGGATTACAGGCATGCACCACCACACTGGGCTTATTTCGTACTTTTAGTAGAGATGGGGTTTCTCTGTCTTGGTCAGGCTGGTCTTGAACTCCCAACCTCAGGTGATCCACCTGCCTCAGTGTCCCAAAGTGCTGGGATTACAGGTGTGAGCCACCGCACCCAGCCAGGTAAGAATCGCTTTTTCTTTTCTTCATTATAATTACTACCCTTCCTTTACATTTCTTTAGGACACATGAGTCATTACTCAAATCATGAAGTCAGGTATTTTAAGAATGTCATAACCTCAGAGATTATGACACTTCTTGTTCTCATCCTTGGGTACACATTAGAAGCACCAGAGGAGGTTTTATAAAATACGAATTCCTTGATTCTAGCTGAGCTTTAGAGTGGGCTCTGATATCAATATATTCTAAAAGCAAGTCCGGTGAGTCTAATGTGTAGCTAGGTAGAGAACCAGTGATCTCAAAAATGTGGATCAATGACCCAGAAAGGATCAAAGTTGAGAGCAAGCCGATGGCAATCTGAAGCAGAACCTGGAAGGAAGATAACAACTCAGATGCCTGGGGGGCCACTTAATGAATGAAGCAGACAATGTAAGCAGACATTTTTAGATTGTGTGAGTGCCAGAGAGCATGACAAACTAAGCAGTTCATGGGGCAAGAGCTCCTGAGCTGTAGCTGATATTGGCACGAGGAAGGAACAGGTCTTCTCACTGGATGCCCCCCCAAAAAAACAAATCAAAATGTTCATGTAAAATTACCCAACTTTCAAATGTTGGCTCAGTTAATAAACACTATCACTGAATGAGGGAAACAAATGAAATCTGAAACGAATGAAAAACACAAAATGGGTTTGGCCTTATCACATCCAGTCTAAAGGATTGTTTCCATTCTACAGAAACCACAGCAGCAGCAGCAGCAGCAGCAGCAGCATCACAACAGTAATACCAATACCTAACATTCAGTAAGTAATTATCACGTTTTAGTCACTACACCAGGAGCTTCACATGGATTATCTCAATTAACCTTTCTCAACCTTTGAGAGTACTATTATTATTCTCCTTTTATTCAAAAACTTCCCCTCCCCACAGTCACATGGCCAGTAAGTGGTGGTCCCAGGATCCAGAAGTGTGCAGTGTAATTCCATAGTCTATTCTCTATTTCTCTTCAAACATTTTTAAAATAGGCTTTTAACAACCGCCACTCTTTGCATTTGGATTTCTTAAAAAATAAAAGGATAATACTAACTGATTTCTCAAGTCATTTTTAGTTATCAGATTCTGCGGCTCTGATACCATCACACAACTCTGGTATTTATATCATCAGTAACATTAGGGCATCAGTCACAAATGCCCTAGTGAGAATTACCTGATCACAGGAATGGAATGAATGCTCACTAAATAGTCTTTCTTAATAGGCAGGAGAAACATAAACTTATGATAAAACTATTTATTGTGGCAGAAAGCTTACTTCTCCATTTTACCTTGTGAAAGATTAGTAAAAGTGTCCAGAAATTCTTGATCATATGTTTGCTCATGACAATTAAGGAATTTATCCAAGACTTCTTTGATTAATTGATCTTCATCCATTATTTCCAATCCTGACATTCCTATTCAGGAGGCCACAGTATCTACAAGACAGAAAAATATAAGCTAGACAGAATCAGGCAGTACCGGCCCCTCTGAAAATACTCTGAATGGGTAGGTTGAAAAATCCCAAGGCTCCAAAAGGAAGATCAAGGTAGTTACTAGAGCAATGATCTATAGTTCAAGAGACAAGAGTTTTATTCATATCTTTGTTGCTAAATTGTTAACTATCACAATTTTATTTTTTGCTTCAGTTTTCTCATAACTATCTTCTTAATTCATAAGAATATTGTCACCTAATTACATAATTAGAAATTCAATGTCTTTCCAGGTAGGAGGAACTTTAAAGAGTACTCAACTAACTGCCCATCTAATGACAATAGCTAACACTTATTAGTGACTTATTTAGCAGTCACTGTGTGTCAGGTGCTGTTCTGAGTAATTTTTTTGTTAATTATCATAACAGTTCTAGATAAGGTCACAGAGCCAGTACATAGAAGTGCCAGTTCAAGCAGTTTGATCCTAGAAACCACGCTTTTAAACACTTCACTATCTGTCTCTCTATTCATTAGGTGACCTCCCCCACTTCCCTACTATCACTGACAAACAGTTGACTTGCCATGCTTCAACACATCCAGGGACTAGTAACTCTAACACTCCAAAAAAGCCTTTGGGCAGCTCTATTAAAAACTTTTAAAATTAAGCCTAAATCTGTCCTACTGTACCCTACCCCAACTGGTTTCTGAGGCCCTGAGGTTGTACTGAAAAATTTCAGTCTTTCTTGTACATGAAATCTTTTCAAATATTTGAACAAGGTTATACTGTCCTTTGTCAATCGTATTTCATTCACTGAAACAGTTTTATTTTCAAAACCCAGATCAGAATTCCATTTCTTTCTGAAGACTTTATCCTCCCATCTACTACCACAGGAAGAATTAATCTTAATATATCTGTGCTGCTTCTGTACTAAGGTCTACTGTTAAATTTATCATGCTGTATTGGAAATAGTTGTGTACATTTCTGTGTTGTCCGTTAGACTCAGAGACATGAAAGGTAGAGTCCACATCTCTTCATCTTTGTATCCCAAATACTTGATAGCTCAGGATGTGGCACAGAGCTGGCAGTCAATCAATACTGAGCTAGCATTACTCATCTGAGCAGGTACAACAGTCGAGTACTGCTAGAAGATGGCAAAACACTAAACTGTACTTGCCCAATTATTTCATCTGTGCCTTAAATGATATGGTTTCAAGTCCTTAAATCCTCCTGATCAATGTCTCAGGAAAAGATTTCACATTGCCTGCATCCCTTTATATATGCCATCCACAACTGAAGACAAGACTTCAGATAGGATGAGATTAGACTAACTCACATTCTCAATATTGCACTCTTGCTATATAACTGGAGATCACATTCACATTGGTAGTGGCCATTCCACATTGTCATTTATTTAGCACAGTGCTAACTGAACACCTGTCAGCTAAGACACACTGCCTCAATCCAAGCACAGTTTGGACTTCATTTTCACTTATGATATTTCCCCCTGTTAAACTCCATTCATTCTGTATGAAATATTCTTCTTACATAGCTTTGAGAAAATTGATTATCTACAGAAAGCAGACATGAAATTACCACCTAAGTAGTCAGTATTACAAATGGGGGACCATAAAAGTAGGGGTTTCTCCAATACTGTAGGGAAAGGAGAGCACTAACTTCCTTCTTTCTATCGGAAACAAGAGTAAACATCTGTTAGCTTTTTCTCCCACTTTTCCTTTATACATTTATCATTTTAAAAATACAAATAGTGGCCAGGCGTAGTGGCTCACACCTGTAATCCCAGTACTTTGGGAGGCCAAGGCAGGCGGATCACGAGGTCAGGAGGAGTTTGAGACCAGTCTGACCAACATAGTAAAACCTCATCTCTACTAAAAATACAAAAAATTAGCTGGGTGTGGGGTTGTGCACCTGTAATCCCAGCTACTCTGGAGGCTGAGGCAGGAGAATTGCATGAACCCAGGAGACTGAGGTTGTAATGGGCCAGGATCATGCCATTGCACTCCAGCCCAGGGGACTGTGCAAGACTCCATCTCAAAAAATAATAATAAAAAATTATATATATATAGCATGTATAAGATATAAAATTATAAAAACCTTTAAGTATCTCCAGACTCTGCTTATTCCCAACCATCAGAGGTAAATGCTGTCAAGAGTCTAATGACTACTTTTAAATCTTTCCCTATAATGTTTATAGAGAATGATAGATTTTTTTTCTAAAAATGGGAACATATTATATGTTATTCTTTACAGCTTTAATTTAATAAGTTACCATCGACATATCACCACTTTAGTATATGCAGATCTAGACTATTCTTTCAAACAGCTGAACAGTCACAGCCCAGCTCTGCCATTCACTGTGGAGCACTGGGCAAGTTACTTGACCTCTCTGGGTCTCTGGTTACCCATATCTATAAAAAGGGATTATAACTATCCAGGCCTATATTTCCTTAACCTCAATTCTGAAATATCAAAAAGCTCAGGAAAAAAATTTTTTCATAAGATAACCCCCAAGTGCATTTGCAGGCAAGACTTGATTGAATTAACATGAGAGTGCTTATGGCTTTTATTCTACTCAGCATTACTATTCACATATTTCCCTGCAGAAATAATAATGTGCTTGCATATAAGGTGCTTTCCCAGAATGAGCCTAGAGCTTTTGTATAATACATGGCACATGCACTGATTACTTTTCCAAACTCCAAGAAGTTTTGAATTCTGAAGCACATCTGACACTGAAGGTTTAAATAAAGAATTGTGAAGCTACACATGCCTCACAAGATTACTATGAAAATGAAGTGAGTATGCATAGCATCTCAAAAAATGTCAGCCATGATGATGATGATGATGGATCAGTCTTAGTATTCTGTCCTCTGCCTACACAAAGACCTGTTATACTGTGCCCACTCAACTTTGAAGGCAGTGATGTTACCTAAAGATAAATCAAGATAATTCCTCCTGTATTACAACCCCAGATAAAGCATGGAGTGGTAGAGGACTGAGTGAAAATTAAATGTATAGCTCGGTACCAACTTAAAACAAAGGAAATTGTTTCAAGCTATTTTTGGTGGAAAAAATTAGATATATGAAAAAGCATCGGTTATGGCTTATGCACATTTACCTGTAACACCACCAGGGTTTAGCAATGCGAGGCTGAATAAACTGTGTTTGCAGTAGCTAAACAGTAAATAATGATAAATAAACTCAAAGGTGGCTATTATTTCACTACAGTAGGACGTATGCTTAATTATAAGAATTTCGATGTCAATCTGCTTTTCCAGAATTGGAGCCCAGAAAAATTCCAACAGTTTATTTTATCAATCTCTTCTTTAAAATCATCTTTGATAAGTTACTTCGGCAAACAAATACCAAATAGATGCAGCCAGGTTGTGGTTTCCATTCCTGTAAATGTCTTCTCATAATGCTTTAAGAGTATTAATAGAAATTCTTTTAAATTTTTTTTCCAGTTCTCAAATTGGCATATTTTGAGTATTATCCAATACATCTCAGTAGTACTAAAAGCAAACAATTAACAGATTGTGCCAGCACAAATTCAAAATCTTTGTAGGCCTTTAATTTTATTTGTGTGGTTATCACAATACACAGATGACATGTTTTTATTGACTTTTTTTTGGAGATGGAACTTCACTCTTGTTGCCCAGGCTGGAGTGCAGTGGCTCAATCTTGGCTCACTGCTACCTCCACCTCCTGGGTTCAAGCGATTCTCCTGCCTCAGCCTCCCAAGTAGCTGGGATTGCAGGTGCCCACCACCAAGCCCAGCTAATTTTTTGTATTTTTAGTAGAAACGGGGTTTCGTCATGTAGGGCAGGCTGGTCTTAAACTCCTGATCTTAGATGATCCACCCACCTCTGCCTCCCAAAGTGCTGAGATTAAAGGCGAGAGCCACCGCACCCAGCCTTATTGACTTTTTAAAGGACTTTTGGAACATCCAGTTACACAATTACTGAATAATGTTATTATTCAAAATTATCATTATTTGAAGAGTTTAGCAATAGCCATCTTCAAATTTAGAACTTGCCTTTTTCATAAAAATACAAACCTAATATTAAAAGTCCCCAAGGACTGACAGAGCAGATAATCACTTATCAGACAGCCAAGTGGTTTATGCAAATCTTGGTGGTTTTCTAAAAGGAAGCAATGCTTTTTCAATTGCCATTCACATACTTTTGTGTTTTTATCATGAAGCATTTTTCTAAAAGAAAAAGAGAGAGAGAGAGAGAGAGAGACTTGCCTTCATAACAGGATTGTTTTGGTTTGGTTTTTATGTTTTAAGGCTTTGAGCTCCACATGAAAGACTCAGAACGTCTTGTGATAAGTAAATGTATATAAATATCTGCTGATAAATCAAAAGTAACACTTTCACAATTATGGCCCCCAGAAGGAAATACAGGGAGCATGCTTTGCTCCTTGGACTATTAAACTTGACTTGAAGACCCACAGTCCTGGTTAGGAATAGGGTTCACTTTTTGCCAAGTCACTGATAGTGAGAAAAATCACATAAGCTCCCCAAAGTCTTGTTTTCTGCTATCAAATAATGAAACTAACCTAAGCTAGTTAATATTACGTGCTCTCTGAAAGAACGTTATTATGGAATATGGTACATGAAATTGTCAGAACTGATTCAGCATATCTTTGATGTTTACCTTCAGATCATCTCTGCTTAATGAACTTCCTTAAACACAATGCAACTTTCAGAGACAAGAGTAGTAGACCTACAAAAGCAAATCACCATAAGCTTGCCTCTCTGAAAGTGCACAGCCTGCTTTTTAACAGCACTAAGGGTTATATGTCTGCAAAACAAAGAGGGTGGGATTGTTAAAGGGTCGTGCAGGTCTATCAAAGCCCACTTATTCAAAATTTTATTTTTCTTCTCAGTAAAAATCTACTGCTATGCTAAAAGGTAAGATGGGATGTTATCAAAATATTAGCACTTTGCCTAAGGAAATAAAGCCATCAACATTTGTACTTC